ATGATTGATTGATTGAATATTAACGTCGCACTGTTCAGCTACACGGGGGCTTTTGACGACGGACCACGTAGTTTTGAACCATGGTCATGTGACGTGGACGACACCTGAGCTAGCACCCCTCTCTCCTAACTACCACTCCACACCAACGGGAGGACGTTTCAGCTCTCGACAGATTTAACGTGCATCGCTGCCCCTACACGGAGGGTCTTTAATAGTACTGCACTCAAAAATGCGGGTCTTTAGTGGTAATGGGCTCGAACTCGTGACTAGGCAAGCCACGATCCGATACCTATACCACTATGCTACCGCGGCCACCCACGACAGATGCATCAGCCCCTCTACAAAACGGTTCTTCAATGCCACTAAGATTCAAACTTGCGATTCGATAAAGCCGACGACAAGTTCATGACCATGACGATTTTTCTAATCGAGCCATGTATACTCATAAATAATGGAGTGGTTATATATTTTATTATGATCCAACTTACTCCACATGAAAGTCTTTCATGGTAATAAGTGGAACTATAATACTAAACGGGTATTTTTCTCAAGGAAAAATAAGCCACATAGATATAGTTTGTATTAGATATGCATTTAAAATATTGTTTGCTATTTATAGGTGGCGCAAGTAACGGAAAAGCAAGCAATCACATGTTTTTCGTTTTTACCTTTAAAAAAGAACGAGCGTTAGCATGGGATTTACTATGAAGCCACATGTAGGTTAAAATTTTGACTTTGTGTGAATTTTAATTTAGAAAGCATTTAGTTTATGTTTTTGATGTTATAATAGTTCCATTTCAACTTGGGGTTTGCTTCTCTTTTTTATGGCGCAAGGACAAATTTAGATCATAATGCGCCATTCAACTTGGGGGAACTCTTCATGGAAGGATGACTCTTCGAAGTTCTTCAATAATATTATAATCCGACGAGAAATGGAAGACTTGTGAATTCCTAGCAACCATTTGATGCCTGTATTGGGTACGTTAAAACTGGCATTTCTTTTCTGTACAATGAAATAGAACTCTTAATTCTAATGTATGTATCATACTTCAAACAAGCATGACAATTATTTTAGTATATGATGACCTGAATAGTTGCAGCAGAACTATGGCATGACTTTTTGCTGGTTTATGAGCACTAGCTGATTTTTACGTAACTAACCCAATGGATTATTTCTTGCATTTTTCCGAAAAACTACTTATTCTCTTCAGCATTGCTAACTTGTTGGGAGCGTAGGAATTGAATGGTTTACCTTCAATTTCTTTTGTATATCGCTGCTCTACATCTGAATTTAGCAGCTTGTTCACTTTAAAGAACAGCTTACACAAGGAATATCTCTTTAAATCTTTCAAACAATCCATTTCTTGCAGGAAGTATAATGTTTACCTGAAGTAGATGGTAACAAATTTCTTGCCTTGTTTGTAAATATATCTGTATCAATCGAAATCTACTTTAGAGTGAAGACATTTTGTATTTTCCATCGGGACATCCCTCTTGTTGAAAGAAACTATCATGCTTGCAGATCGATGGAGTCTTCATTTTTTTTTATTGCTTCTTTCATGGAATAAAATATAGCAGTCTGTGGCTTCTGCATTATTATTCAGATCTAGAATTTAAATTTTGCTCTATGAATGCAAAGCTTTAGAGTGTTAAAATTCGTTTTGCATAGCAAAACCTAGTTTAAAGTTATAAAAATGCTACAAAGTATAATTTATTACTCATACCGGCGAACGAGAGGTATTAAACTTAGAGTAGGAAAAACTCGTGGATGTACATTTTCTGCAGCTAAAAATGCAATAAACTAAATTTCATAGTCGGAAAATTTGTTGGTTGATGCAAAATGGAATCCATATTTTTACATTGAAATAAATGATATTGAGAAACGCGAGTATTACAAAGTGAAAGGAAATCTAAAAACGTTGTAGATATTATTTAATATCTATTTAAAAACTGGAAATGGTTCTGAAGGAGTGAAGTGTAAATCGGGGACACTTTCAACGTTTCTGTCCATATCTCTTGTATTTATTCAAATTCGGTGGGCCACAAAAGTGTTCGTACACTTAGAATTATAAAATTTAATGTTTTTTGATTAATAAAAACTAATATATTGTAATTGTAATTTTGTGATATCTGCAACTTGCTTTTAATAGAATGACATAATTTTTTAAAAATAGTATAAATTTTTAAAAATTAATAATCAAAGCTACTAAAAAATTACGCCACAAGTCTTCGTACACTTAACAAAAATTTCAACTTGTTTTTAAATATTGTATTTCTTTCTTAATTTAGTACTTAGTAGGATATATTTCAGTGTCCAGCAACTTTTAAGCGTCTTGGTATAGACCTGATCAGTTTTTTTTTTATTTCTGCATCGAATTTCCTCCATTCTTCTGTCATTGTTTCCTTCACATTCTGTGTTTATTTGTCATGCTTTCCTTTTACATAAAAACTCTAGTCAAATATGTTCTACTGGGCTAAAAGTGATTGAAGAGGTGTTTTCATAATTTGGGGGTAGTAATACACCAGTGGCGTACATTGAGAGCAGTGCGCTTGGCGTCATTACCTTGTTAAAAAATAAAGTCATCTCTAATATCCACAGTTCGGGCAGATAATTTAAAATTTCTCTTTATAAAATATTAAAATGAAGCTCGTGATTCACAATACCATCAAATGCCAAATTACCCAATTCTGAGGCTAATTTACACCCCCATGCCAGAACACCTTCACTTCCATGCTGATGTATGGAGGTGAAGTTCTTGTTCCACACTAATATATGGGATTAAACTCCTTAAATTTTTCACATACAAGCTGTTGTAAGCCCGTTGGAACCAAAAATGTTGAATATCTGCCGTCCCAATCAATTTGCTGTCGATTTTGAATTTTCTGAAATGTAATCCCAAAAATCTAGTTGGATCAATAAAACATAGAGGTAGAAGTGTTCTTTGGTGGGGGTGTAAATCGGTCACAGAATTAGGTAATTTAGTATTTCTTGATGGTATCGTGAATCATGAGTTCTATTTAAATACTCTAAAGACATTTTAAATTAACTGGCCGAAATTTGGATATAGGAGAATACTTGCTTTTTTAACAGGGTAGTGACGCCAAGCGCACTACTCTCAATGTAGGCCACTGGCGTCTCTAGAACCGTCCTCAAATTATGAAACTCCTCCTCAATCACTTTATTTAGCCCAGTAGAGCATATCTAAGATTTTTATGTAAAAAGAGAACGCGACAAATAAACGCAAAATATGAAGCAAAAAACAATCGCAGAAGAATGGGGAAAATCGATGCAGAAATTATAACTGATCAAATCTGTACCAAGACGCTTAATAGTTTTTGTACACAATAAGGAATATCCTAAGTACTAAACTAAGAAATACAACATTTAAAGCTAAGTAGCGTTGAATCCTTCTCAATTAAGCATGCCATCTTCACACACTGAATGTTCGATTTATTCCAATAATACCTTTAGAAATGGATTATTTAATCATGGGTGCCTCTGTTACTCTGTAAATCATGGATCAAATAAATTCAGAGATAACAAACATGATGAATTCAGACTCATTTTAAACTTCCCAGCATCTTAACTTCTACGGATTTAAATTCACAAATGACAATCGGGAACGCGTGACTTGATGAGAATAACTACATATAAACGAGGGTTATATACGAAACTAAACTGGCAACAGCTGTTAAATCAAACTTCTGCAAATAAGAACTCCTATTTTAAAGTGGTTTGATTTCTAATTATATAAGCTTTGGGGCTTCAAGAATGCTATGCGTTTCTTTGAAAGATGAAACTTGAAGATTTAAACGGATTTCAGAAGTACCGCAGGAATGGAAGGAAGAAACGTCGTATTTGGACAGAAATAGCGGATTTCAGAAAGTAATTAAATGACTAAATACTCTTTGACTATCGATAAAGTTTCGATTTATTGGGACTAATACTTCGAATACAAATGTCTCGTAGGGAACTTCAAGGAAGTGCTAAATATGTCGTTCAAGGAAATGCATAGATGAGGGAATAGGAACCGTGTTTATTTTCAGTTTGTTTCATCGATGGACCAGCCACGCTTATTTCTTTACTATTTAACCACAAAACATATATATGCTATTTAAAAAAGCGCAGCAATTTTTAAGTAATTTTTATTGTGAGCTTAGAGTATTACAGTCCTATATTAATGCTCACGACTGAGTATTAAAGAAATTTTCTCGTCTATCTTGTTCCACAGAAAGTTCTCAACTGCCGGCACTGCGCGGCAAGGAAGCATATTTGCATTTGTGCACATGACGTTGGCGCGCATGCGCCAACATCTCTCCCGGCCTTCTTGGAGCCAATCAATGCTTACCTAATCATCCTCCACAACACATGATTTGTAATTTCTTGATGCCGTAAGCAAGAGGTACAAGTTTAGAAGCGCCCCATTTGAGACCATCGCATTCTACTGTACGTACACATTTTTCCAGTTCTTCCATGTCTGTTTAATCATCCCAAGGTTTAACATCAAGTACTACACTGGATTTAGCAATAACACCAGGTTTCTTGGATTTCTTTTCAGCATATTGTCTCAAACGTTGCTGCTTCATTTTTTCTGCTTCATCACTTTCATCGTCAGATCCAAACAAATCCAAGTCATCATCGTCATCACCACCAACACCTTTGCTTGGTTTGGCTGATTCAGATTTTGAAGCTACAGTAAAAGCACTGATGTCTTTTTTAACACCTGGGAAGCTGGTAATGCCATTGCCGAAAGACTTGAAGTGATTGTACCATCGCAGAGCATGTGGAAATTCTGCAGATGGAGGGGATTTTAAGGCTTGAAAAACTGTAGTATCGGCCTGAGAAGGCTGAAACACTTCAATGTAGCTATTATCAGCTAAAAACGCATCAAGAGATTATAATCCAGCATTAGTTTTTAAATCACTGAAAGTCATTTTTAAATATTAAGTTTTTCACAATTATCCTAAATCCCGCAACTGCTCAGTTTTTAACTGCAACAAATTTTAGCTCTGGTAGCGTATACTAAATTTGTTGCAGTTAAAAAGCTCGTAGTTGGATTCCTGCTCTGGACGTAGGGGGCCGCTAACGCGGTCCACCATGCGCACCCGGCATTCTTCCCGCCACTCCTAGGATCGTTGTAAAAGGCGGTCTTAGGGTGGATGGCGGAGATCTCTTTGCAAAAATTAGAGTGCTCTAGGCGGACTACGAAGCTCTAATAGTAATGCACGGTACGATGAAACATGATTTTGGCTCTTATTCGGTTGGGGCACGGAGACCGAGATAATGATTAATAGGAGCAGACGGGGGCATTCGTATTCCGACGCTAGAGGTGAAATTCTTGGACCGTCGGAAGACGTATCACTGCGAAAGCATTTGCCAAGAATGTTTCCGTTGACCAAGAACGAAAGTGTGGGGCTCAAAGAAGATTAGATACCTTTGTAGTCTTGTACCCTAAACGATACCCGCCAGCGATCCGGCTACGTACGAACGTGACGCGCCGGGCAGCTCTTCCGTGGAAACCAGAACTCCAGCTCGACGGGCCAGAATGTTTATTTTTAGTTTGTTTTTGTTTCATCGACGGACCAGCCACGCTTATTTCTTTACTTTTTTTATTTAACCACACAACATATATATGCTATTTACAAGCGCAGCAAATTTTAAGTAATTTTTATTGTGCTTCGAGTATTGTCTTGTATTAATGCTCACGTCTGAGTATTAAAGAAAAATTTTCTCGTCTATCTCGTTCCACAGAAAGTTCTCAACTGCCGGCATCGCGCGGCAAGGAAGCATACTTGCATTTGTGCGCATGACGTTGGCGCGCATGCGCCAACATCCCGCCCGGCCTTCTTGGAGCCAATCAATGCTGACCTTATCCTCCACAACACTTATGATTTGTAATTTCTTGATGCCATAAGCAAGAGGTACAAGTTTAGAAGCGCCCCATTTGAGACCATCGCATTCTACTGTACGTACATTTTTCTAGTTCACCCATGTCTTTTCATCCCAAGGTTTTGCATCAAGTACTACACTGGATTTAGCAATAACACCAGGTTTCTTAGATTTCTTTTCAGCATATTGTTTAAAACGTTCCTGCTCCTTTCCGAGTTTTCATATGGCATTAATTGCACAACTCTAGCAATCCAAATGTACAATGTCTGAAACGTTTGAAGCTTTCAGAGATATTGTATTTGTTAGACTTGGCTTCTCCGAGAGAGAAATAATTGCGGTCGGTACTTTTGTAGCAATGATCAGAGCACAGTTTTCTTATTAGCTTGCATAATTTAGATGGCATCAATGTAGTTTAGCAGAATCGGAAATTGGAATCAAATTAACTCTTATCCATTTCAAACGGCTACAAGACTAGCTTCGTCTACGGTTTCCTTCAAACTAAAAGATTATTGTCAACGAATCGGAATGAAAATCATAATAACTCTGTCGGAAATGTGTTTAAAATTATCCAATAAACTGCGTAGAAAGATCGGTAGCTATTGACTTTATCTCCCCGAGTGCCTGAATAGTTTTCAATAGCAGTTATCGAAAGAGAAAGTATAACTTAATTACATATTTACAAATTAAACGGGAACAGTTATCCATAATTTAATTCTGTTAAAAGGATCACGTGAACGTTACAAGCTCCACTACTTGGAACATTTTTCTAAAATGCACTTGAGCACTTCGTTTTCTAGACTGCTTTGAAACTCTAACAGTTTGAAGCGGCCACGCACTTTCTGCTCACGGTGAAATATTGGATGATATCCCTCCTATTTGAATATTTTGTTAATATAATTTCTTGAAATTTCAGTCTGATGCCAAGAGTATTTTAAATCGACCATTCGGAAATCTAGTCTTGAATTGGCTACTGCGTTAGCTGTAAAAAAAGTACAATGCTCCCAAGATACCTTGACATTATGTTTATAGCCATTCTATTCGATATCCAACTTCTAGATCATCGTTCACAAATGAAATGTAACGTGCATTTGTTAACTAAAACTAATGAAGCTGCTTGTAGTTGCGGAAAAAACTACGTACCAGGTACCAGAAGGTTACGGTAGATTAAACCAGGTAACAGGAAAATGCGTAATTTTAAAGTCCTTTTCTACCTTGGAACAATCGAGGAGCATTTCTAAATCATACAGTAGCTCTTGACGCATTACACCAAACTTCAAGTGAAAGTATCAAATTATGAAATAAAATGGTGATTCTGAAATAATACCACAACTAGATTTAACGATAGCGAAAAGAAACGCTCGTAAGCAAACGCGTGCCGTCAGTTCTGAAAGTAAGGATAAAATTAAACTTTCCTTTGTACACTCGTAGAATACTTTACGATCCAATTATTTACGAGATTTTAAAACGGCGCTTAGAGACATTAACTTGGTTAATTTTTTAGAGAAATCCATAGTTAAAATGAGCGTGTGTATGATTACTTAACGTGAACTCGGAGGATGCAATCCTGTTTTCTGAAATCTAATTTTAATGTTCCACGTGAAATGGCTTAATTTATTTCTGCTTGTTCCAATTCACCAAGCCTTTCTAAGAAATTTGAAACGGATTAAAGTACATAAATAACTAATTAGTCTAGTTTAATACTACATAGTTAAACAAGACTAACTTTTACCCGTTTCGGGGATTAAACTTTTAATCTTCATGGACATTGTAATACTTTATTCATAAGACTATCGTATAAGGTGGACAAATGTAAGTAGGATAGTTATGTATTTCTGTAAAGGTTATTTACGAGAGGACTTTCCAGGATAATTGAAGGAACAGTGTGTAAATGATTTAAATAGCTCTAGCCGTAGTTTTAAAACAATGACTCCTTCTTGTTTTTGTTTCTTTGGTTATGGTGAAAGTTCTCTGAAATATCTTCGATATCTATAAGTCGGCGAATATTCAAAGAGTCTATCCTATTTAATGCCAAAAAGTTGAAGGATATCCCCCCTCGATTTCTTTCCAATTATGTTACGCCCGATTAAAGACAAAGAATTCCGTAGTAATCCATGATTCCTCCTAGGCAGTTGTAATGATTTAGAATGAAACACTTGACGTCGAAAGAGGGACACAATGCTACGCAGTCTTCTTCGAGTAACGCAACTTTCGTCCTCGTGGTACACAAAAGATAATCTTGAAACCACTTGTAAAATTGAGATGCTCTCTTCAGACACTCAAAATCGTTAAGACGTTTCTGACAAGAGACGAGAATATCGTTCCTTTTAGATGGTAGAAAGATTCGGCAAATGTATATCCAAACATGCTTCAAATAACAACCGCATTAAAGATAATGTAGGACACTTGTAGTATATTGTTGTGGATATAAGCATCATCGGTCACACATCCCCCTCCCATCACGACGAATACACTGTGCAAAATTCTATGCTTTCTAAAGCAGGGACCTGGGATTTCGTTCTAGTTTCCCTTCAACAGCTTGGAATGTCAAAGTCAACCAATTTCTTTTAAGCCTGTTCCTTGTTTCCTTATCGAAAGTAATAGTCGTGTAATTGTTATGAAAGAAACTCGCTTACCGAATTAACCTACTGGTGTTAGTTCTATAATAAACGCGGCTTCTCTGAATTATATTACGATTTCCTTTTTGTAACAATGATCGCTACTTGGGTAGTATATTCTGAATAGACTGTATATTTATGTCAGAATGGATTCAGATTGATTGGTAATGGACAAATATATAGATTCGGCTAGATTCCTGCAATTATTTGTCTTCAGCAACATGGTAGTCGACCTTGATTATGAAACTGAACTTATTGTATCCGTTTATCATGATGAAATTTCAAATGGGTGCTGATGAAGTAGCTGCAAAATATGCATCTCTATCTTAATTTATATTTACAGTTAACATTAAATCTTTCAAAGACCAAGTTAAATCTCTACAGAATTGTTAAATGTGGGGTTTTCCCCCACAATAACCTTGAAATTCTATTAATGCTTCTATTGATTTTCTCTGGATCGCAGCTCTAGAAATAGGGCGTATGTCACAGCGGTTTGTGATAAGTGGCTCCAACAATAGGCTTCTGTCGCCGAGTAAAGGTGTAATTTAAGATGGCCACAAGCAGAGGCGGTTACAACTAGTAACACTTGCTTCGCAAGAAAGAATAATTAAACCTGCAAGGGAAAATTTCTTGCCTAACTGTTCAGACAATGATAGCAGAGTAAGTGACTGATATATCATAAGTTTCTAAGTGTGCAGCATATCGGTGAAACACACGCGTTTTAATTGCTTTTAAGGGGACAGTGGAATTTCAAAAACTTTTTGATTATTAAGGTTAACGAGACTTTATGAGCGGACACACTGGAATTCACGTATCTTTTAAAAAGTTTAACTTTTTAAAAATTTAAATTCTGTAAACATTCCATTCGTTTCAATTTATTTTTGGCTCAGTCTAACGTTGTTGGTATACGTTATACGTAAATGGATGTTTGGCAATTTTATGCACTGGTTAATTTTTTGCATAAGTTTAGTACATTTGTACTCAATTTTCTGTAAAAGAAATGTTAGATTTTGTACACTAAAAATGAAATTTAACTATGTAAATGAAGTCAAAACTTTGAATGGATACCAAGATTTAAATTATGTAATTATCAGTATTCTTCACGAGAAATTTCAAACAATTTGCTTTAAAAGTGAAACTGGTGGAGTATCTTGAAAGCACATAAATCTGAAAACCCAAGTTTGGAGAAAGTAATTTTAAATGTATCCCACTTACATTTTATACTTGGTCTGATGTTAAGCATCCATTTTGTTTAATACATATTTACTATGTTTACTTACAAGCATTATCTGAAGCGAAAAATTGTCAATAGTATGGAATGTTTTCACATAGTTTTTCGGTAAAATGCGTATGTTGCTGCAAATGTGTTTTCAGCAAATTTTTGCTTAAAATTTGCCATGACCATATGTCACGCCTTCTTTTAATCTTCTTTGTAATTTTACATTACTTTCCCAATTCTTTTCTTTTTCCAATCACTAGAATCCTTTTCTGTGTGAGCTAAGTTTTGCGCAGTATGGCCGAATTCGGCTCTTGCGCCATAAGACTTCAAAATCAGTCACTGTCTGAGCTAAGCGTCGGTTATCACGCTTATGGGGAAATGTCTAGATGCCGCACTTAACTTATTTTACTCAATAGCTAAACTATTCAAGCAGCCTAAATTATATCTACCTTTGGCAGATATAACACTTCGTTTCGTTTTTTAGAAACAAGTTTCCTTTGGAGTTTCTCCAGATGACTCTGGAGGTTTCGTTGGCATTCTGATTTATTGCCACACTATCTTTTTTTTATCTTTCTTCCACACTATTATTCCGACAGCTTAGTTTTCATGAGAGAATGGGACATAGAGTTCTCATTTTTAGCCAATGTTCTCTGGTTAAAACACCCCGATGTCGAACCGGTAGAACTTTTACCATGTTTAGGTGTTTTATGTGTTGAACAATGTAGCTCAAATTGCACCTTTTTACATCTGGTGCATTGTCTTTTATAAATTTTATAGAAAAGTTAGTCAGCTTCACTATGGT